ATTAACATGTAGGCTACAATATACATGTGACTATAACCAGCCTAAGTATGCATGTAATACACTATTGGACACAATCATATGCACTTTTTTCAACTAATCAGATGGCGTCAATCTCATATAAATGGGCAAGGGAAAAAAAAAAGCCTTCGTCTGGGTCGACTCTGGGGCTGGTAAGGCCAAATTGCAGCACCCCTCCTAAATGATCAAGATCGGTTTTTATTATGTTAGAACGGGTACAAAAGTACAATAATTGGTCATTACGATCTGTTGAGTCAGGCAGGCGTCCTTGTGCAGTGGTATCTAGCTCGGACTGATGTACTTCTGCTAGCAGAAGACATGAGTTCGATTCCTGTTTTGGGAAATTTAAATAAAAAATCTATATTTTCCTTCTTAACTGTCTGCTGGTCTCTCCCCCCCCCCCCTTCCCAGTCAGCGCTGCTGACAAGTGTCTTTAGGCAATTCTCAAAGGGGGGATAGTTACATGTTCTTATGCACAGTGGAACTGTAAATGAGCTAATTTATCAGTCGTGCTCATACTACTGTGCCGAAACAATATAGGGGGAACTGCTTCTTTTTCTTTCCTCATCCTTACTATAATTATTTTCCTCTACTTCTTTTGTATGTTTGTCACTTTCTTGTGAATTTCTATTTCCTGAGTGCCTTAATAGTCGAAGTAGACTTTGTGATGTTGAGGCTAGAGAGGTGAGCAGAGTAAGCCTGATTCCCCGTTTGGACTTCTCTGTTGACATCCACCCCTTTGAGCTCATATGACCTTGTGCAGTTGTGAGCGTCGTAAAACCTTTACTAAAACAATTAGCCTGGTTTGTCTAGGCAGGGTTCGAAGCAGCCTACATCTTAAATGATCTAGATTGTGCCGACGGGGATGTAAAACGTCCACAGTTACAACTGTGCAGGTATCCCCTCGTAGCTTAGTATCCGTCATCCTCCAAGCTACAACTACAAGTATCAATACATTTCTCTTCCTTAGAACTACTAAGTTCGATCTGACATTTTTGGCCGTTTTGAGTTACATGTACTAAGACCATGAGGTCAGAAAGCAAATTAAATGCTCTGCCTGCTTTATCAACATTTTAGAATATTCGGAGTTGTTTTCAAGATATTCAAAGAATTGCAATCGGAAAAGTTTGACATGTTGTGAAACTTAAACAAAAAAAATTGACGTCAAATGTCTCCCAACTTGTACTGAGCAGATAGAACTTTGTGACTCTGAGGTAACGATTTGTATACAGCGAGCTGCAGGGACTCAGTTACTCTCTTTGTGAGGCAGCGTGGTGAAACCAGGCGCTCGATATATTAACGAAATCGGAGAACCAGGCACTTTTCCGCCAGTTTGGAATTTTTTTTGGCTTAACCTCTTCTAGTTCCATATAAAAGCACATTTCCACGTGAATTTTACTGAAAAAACACTGATTAAAAGCACAGACTATGTCATTTTTCAGCTTTCAGACTTTTTAGCTACTGGAGTTTCCAAACTTTGGCGGCCAATTTCTCGTTAATTTCACTACTGAAACCAGGCAACCTCACTTCTTTCAATCGTAAATATCTTGAGTTCTATTCAACATAAATTTATTTCATTGTGTTCCCGGCCCATGCTGTTATACAAAAATTGATAATACTTTCTATTGTTGAATGGTAGAACATGGACACCAATGTTTTATCAACTTTAAAATACTTTAGCTTCCTTAGAAAAAATAGTCTTTTGTTCACTTTTTATGCTGGAGAGAAGTGTGGACCCGCCAGTTAAGTTTGTACTTCTCTGTTGACACCCACCCCTTGGCGTTCATATGACCTTATGCAGTTGCGAGCACCGTAAAACCCCTACTAAAACTTAAAAAACCCAACCTAATATGATCTAAATTGTGTCGATGGCATGAAAAACAGCTATATTAAAAAGTAACAACAACAAAACAAAACAACAAAACGTAGTCTCAACACGGGCACAGATCAAAAAGTTTCTTTTATTTCATGACGGTTCAATGTTCAAATACATGCACAATGTACATCATTGTTTCTGAGATGGATGTCCACGAAGTTGATTCCCTTTTTCAGGAAAAAAACAACAATCGAAGGTTCCATTTTATGAATAAAGAGGAGTCCGCTTGAACCGAAATCTGCAAAACCTTCCGTTTAGCCGGGTTTTTGGTTTAGACTTATTGCTTAATATATAATTTATAAGTACTAATTA